TGGATGTGCAGGGGAAGGGCATCGCATATCACTGTATTGGGACGTGGGGGGGCCCCCCCCACATCCAGACCGGCAAGGTGTAGGATATTTTCCTATTTCCACCCCCCCCCACGCCCCCCCCCCAGATAACCTGGGGCAATACCAGCCATATCAAGTGCTAACGAAGCTTGAGGATACTCTGTCCTCCTATGGGGCTTTCCAGTTGCCGCGCTTTGGGTGCAAATGCTGCAGTCGCGCCTGAACGGCACGTGGTCCGCCTGGAGGTGCCTCCTCCACTCCAGACGCTGTTTGGCGGTCATTGCCTTGATCCTTGGACTCACCACTGCCCGATCATCTATCGCCTTCGCAATCTCCCTTCTCAGGCCCATTGACCACGTTGCCAACTTCGCTGGGTCCATCTTCATCGCGTTCTCCGACTTCACCCTGACGTCGACTAGGCCATTGATGTGCTCCAAGGCATAGTTCGTACCAATCGTTGTTGGTTTCCGCGCAGGATGCTCCAAGGCGCCTTGATCGAACGAGTACGTGTCCAAGCCCGTGGCCTTCATGAACTCCAACCACAACTGTGTCCTCCACAAGCTGGCGTAGTCTCTTCCATCATTCCACAGCGTCTTTGGGTCTCTAGGGTGCTCCACTAAGAACCCCGTGGCCTTTCCAGGTCGCGCAAACTTGCTCACCATGTACAGCAAGAACATCTTCGCAATCAACTCCGTGTCTCCATCCACACGTTCCCTTTGGGTTTCAGTGAGCTCCGCTAAGGACTCTCTCCCGTACGCACAGGACCTTCTCGACCTGGAACTTCCCTCCACCTCATCACGGAGAACGTTCGACACGGTGGCCCTCCAAGAAGATCTTCCATTCTTCCGGTGACCGCTGCCCACATGAGGATCTTGAAGATGCCGTCCTTCGTAAGATCATAAGCCTTGCTCCGCTCAATGTCGACGTTGAGGAGGACCCGATCATCGTCTGCATCCGCTCCAATCGTCGCCAGCGGATCGTCAAGGGCACCCTTCCCGGAGAACAAGTTCACAACCCATCTTTTGGACTTCAGCAACTTCCTTCTTTCACGTCTTGTCAGCGGGAGGTTCTTCATGTAGCTCCAGCCAGCTTCCTCGGTGAACTCGAGCTCCGTGAACAGCTTATCCTTGATTTTCCCCGGCAGGTCCTTGAACATCGGTGCCGTTTCGATAGCCTTTGCCAACGCGGCCCAGTCCTTCAACTCCACCAATCTCCTCAAGGATGTAGTCCACGGCTCTGCTTCCCTATCATTCACCGCGTCTATCCTGGCCTTCAATGCCTTCACCTCCATGTACAGTTCTCGACGCTTCTTCTCCTCGATGTGGTCAATGATCCTTCGCGCTTCATCCCTGGCGACCTCGGGACATCCTCCCCTCAACGTGGTCCTCATCCTTCCGAACTCCGGGTGCTTGATGGCCAGCTTCTTTCCGGTCCACGTCACTTTCCACCCATGGTTGACCAACTCACACATAGGGATGATGGTTTGCGTCCTCGTGTCGCTTCCGGCGATGATCGTGCCCACATCATTCTGCACAAGCTCCTTTTTCGTGTCCCCCGCCAACACCACAGAAACTGGAACAGCATCTTGCCGCTCCTTCTCATCCCGCGGTGGCCTGAGGATGTTTGTTGCACCTGAGTCTATTAGTGCATCTTGTTCTTCATGTCCATTGGCCCACGGCTCCGCTGCACACACCCTCACTGCCTTCCGTCTCAACTCATCAAGTTGACGTTGCAGGGACTCCACCGCACCGTGCGAAGTCTCGCTTGAGGAGGTACTCTTCGAAGAGGTCTTTGCTGCCATCAGCGTCTTGATTGCCCTCGTGGCCTCTCCCAGTATCTCCTTCAAGTCCTGCCCCGATTCCTGAGACTCGGTTTTTGTAGACGGCGAGGTCGGTTGCGGCTCTGGCTCCGGACTCATGGATTTGGCGCTCGGCTCCTCAGCGTGTCCCTTTCCTTTCCCTTTGGAAGGCGACTTAGGGCCTGGCTTCTCTTTTTGCTCATTAGACTTTGCTTCCCCGCTCCTTGTGGGACAGTCCTTGGCGAAGTGGCCCTTTGCCGAACACACCATGCATCGACCTTTCTTTGGCGTGTCACCCCAATCATGAGCCCATTTACATGACTCTCCTTTGTTGCATCCCTCGTCCTTCTTCGCGAACCACCTGCATGCCCCTTTCACCGCCGGCTGTTTTCCTTTCGAGCCTCCTTTGGGGTTCTGGACGTTCGTCTCTGAGGTCGTTGCCACACTTCTCGCCTTCGGATTCGGCTTCTCCGATGACCCGCTCGACGAGGACGTAGCCAGCAATTCCATCTCGGCTTGCAAGTGCTCGTGAAAGCTGAGGGTTTTCTCCAAAGTTGGCCCTGCATCCAGCTGCAAGGTACTTCGCATCAACGACGTGCGGAACGAGATTTGAGGGTGCTTCTGCAGCAAGGCATCTACAATCATCCCCAATCCCTTCGTCAACAGCACTGGGTCCGGGGTGGCCACGTCGATGTCTCGAGCTCTGCTAAACCAACGGCCCCAACGTCGTAGCTCCTCTACTGCCTCGGTAACTGACGATGCCGGACTTGGAGAAGTCAACTGCCTCAGTAACAGGGTTTTCTCTGCTTCTCCACCAGGCCTGTACATAGTCAGCAACCGGTACACCATCAACATGGTTGAGGACGTAGCCTTTCTGGTAACCATCTCGGTCCTCACTTCCTCATTGAGCACCGCTAAAACCATACTCGCCGCCCTTGCATTCACCCGAGCATAGCGTCCCTCCTCCAGGACTGCGGACCTCGTTGGCTTCAGGGCCAGCTTCTCCATTGGCGATGCCGTGACCCACTTCTGGTAGTACTCCTCGGCAGCCTTCTTTGTTTGCATCCACCACTCTGCCGACGAGTCACTGAGGTCTCCCATCACCGCTCCAACCACCTCCAACCAGTCCTGGATGTCGATCGCACTGGTGTCCTTTCCCGGCGAAGGCAGGTTTGGCAACGTCGTAGTTCCCGGCTTCACAACTTCCGGTCCTTCTGGTTTCTTTTCCATCTGCTTCAGCTGAACGTCCTGAAGTTGCTTGATCCCTATCGCCAAGGCTCCCAAGATGTCACTCTGACTCGGACCGGCTGACGACGAAGCCCTCGCATTCTCACCACCGGCGTCCGTTCCCGCCACCTGCGGGCCATACGATCGTGGCGCTCCCTGAGGATACGGTTGCTCTTCTCGGCCCTCTTGAACACTTCCTTGGAGATTCTGAGTTCGCATCGATGGATCCCGCTGATCGTGCCCTTGTGAACCTCCATCTCGTTGGGGTAGCCGTGGTCGAGCGTTTCCTTGAGGAGCACCAGCAGGCTGGTGTAGTGGAGCTAGGTTGAGGTAGTGGAGCTTGCACATGCCCTTGAGGAACTCCAGCAGGTTGAGGTAGTGGAGCTTGCACATGCCCTTGGGGAACTCCAGCAGGTTGAGGTAGTGGAGCTTGCACATGCCCTTGGGGAACTCCAGTAGGCTGAGGTAGTGGCGCTTGCACATGCCCTTGAGGAACTCCGGCAGGTTGAGGTAGTGGCGGCTGTACACCTTCTGACATTAGCTCATCCCGCTGTCTCGTCACCTGCACTAGCTGCTCCCTCAAAGTCCTTAGCTCTTCTCTTTTGACCTGCCATGAAGTCCTGAACTTGCCGACGTACTTCCGCCTGGATCTCCGAACTCCCCGTAGAGCTCATCGAACTCCCACCTCCTCTCATCGGGCCATAGATCAAGGGTGCCCTACGCTGACTCTCCCTCAGTCGCTGGAGGTCTCCTCTACTGAACAACGGAGATTGAGGTGCCACATCCGTCATCCCCTGTACCGGCGACGGCGAGAACCTCCACGAGTCTGGAATCTGCAGCTCTTCCGCAGGCGAAAACTCCCCCTGCTGCATGTGTGGAGCACCATTTTGTCTCGCGGCTGCTGCGTAGTGCTGTGATGTCATCTGTGCTTGCTGATGCTGAAGGTGAGCTGGAGTGAACCCTAAACCACCCCAAACCCTACCCTGGAACCCACCTGCAGCGTCCGTTGTAGTTCTCAGCATCTCCGTAAAGCGCGTCAACCACCGAACCACAGTTGGCGATCCACCTCCAGCCTGAACTTGGGCCACCATGCCCTGTTCCACGCCTTGGCGCCATCCCCCATCAGCCTCTTGCATCGATGGTGGCTCTTGCACAGACACAGGTAGCGGAGCTCCCAAACCACCATTTGCAACCACTTGATCTTCGCTCAGCAAAAACGCCGATCCAGCTGCAGGCTCAACCATTCCAGTCGCCAACGATGACGCGCCATCACGGCCTTCATCACTCGCCTGCGGCCACTGAACCACTGGCAGAGCTCCACTCGTCACTGGAGCTTCGGTTGCACCATATGAGGGGCCATTTGCCTCTCCTTCCAGCAAGGAACTTCTTCTTCCCGAGGTCGGCGGCTGCCCCACTGTGGCTTGCCCAGCTTGAGCGCTTGGGCTCATCACCTGTTGAGCTTCGGAGCCCAGGGATGAGGATTCTGTGTGTCTGGGGCGCTGTTCCATGGCTTACAAACTGCACGGGCGCGATTCTTTTTCCAACAACACAAGCACGTATACGGTTTCTTTACAGCAGTGCTTTGACAGCTTCGTAGACTTTTGGCTTTACATGCTACGACTCTGGTTTCTGCGTTGCTTTGTGGTTTTGGCCTTCACGGCCGTCTTTGGCATTGGTGCTCCACACCTTGCCGTCTGGAGCCAAACATACATCGCGGGCGGGCTTTTCACTTCCAACCGCTCCTCAAATCCTGAATATCCACAGGTTTATAAGGGCTAAAGGGCCTTCAGGGCCTGAAGGGGCCTTAATGGCCTTAATGGCCTTAAGAACCATAAACCCTAAACCCTAAACCCTAAACCCTAAACCCTAAACCCTAAACCCTAAACCCTAAACCTAAACCCTAAACCCTAAACCCTAAACCCTAAACCCTAAGCCCTAAACCCTAAACCCTTCCGAGGCAAATCCAATCCAGCGAGGGGGCCTTCGCTGCCCTCAAAGCCGATGGCTCCGTAGTGGCGTGGGGCGCCCCTGCCTTCGGTGGGGACAGCAGCTCGGCACCTTGGCTGTTTAGGGTTTAGGGTTTAGGGTTTAGGGTACAGGGTTTAGGGTTTAGGGCCTATAGGGTTTAGGGTTTAGGGTTTAGGGCTTAGGGCTTAGGGCTTAGGGCTTAGGGCTTAGGGCTTAGGGCTTAGGGCTTAGGGCTTAAGGAAACTTACAAGGTTTAGGGTCCATGGACCTGAGTAAGACTTGTCATTTCTACGTTACTTCAGTCAGTAACGAGATGATGCAAAACTTTTGGTTCATCATATATATATATATATATATATGGTTATCCCCCCCAAAGATCTAGGTATTTTCGTGGTTTTGGGATCTGTTTTAGGGTTGGGGGTGGGGGGCTAGCTAAACATGTAAATCTCAATATGGACATGTAAAACTTGATATGTGCGAGTCTTCATATGTGCGTGCGTGGTCGTATTTTCAAATTGTGAGCTCGATTGAAAAATTCGGGGGCCCGATTGAAAAACGATTGAAACGATTGAAATTCAATCGGAGACCGGATTGAAGATTGAAGATTGAAGATTCCCGGAAAGCTTTTTTGGGGAATCTTCAATCTTCAATCTTCAATCCGGCCCCCGATTGAATTTCAATCGTTTCAATCGTTTTTCAATCGGGCCCCGATTGAATTTCAATCGTTTCAATCGTTTTTCAATCGGGTTCACGTCTTGTAAAGTCTCAGTTTTAGCTTTCGTGACGTCGCTATAAAGTCCCAGAAGAAAATTGCGTGACGTCGCTCAAGGTCATGTGTCACAAGCCCATAGATTTCGGGATCGTGGGCTAAACCTTTAAGATTCAATCGGGGGCCCGATTGAAAAACGATTGAAACGATTGAAATTCAATCGGAGACCGGATTGAAGGTTGAAGATTGAAGATTCCCGGAAAGCTTTTTTCTGGGAATCTTCAATCTTCAATCCGGCCCCCGATTGAACTTCAATCGTTTCAATCGTTTTTCAATCGGGCCCCCGATTGAATTTCAATCGTTTCAATCGTTTTTCAATCGGGTTCACGTCTTGTAAAGTCTCAGTTTTAGCTTTCGTGACGTCGCTATAAAGTCTCAGAAGTAAATTTCGTGACGTCGCTCAAGGTCATGTGTCACAAGCCCATAGATTTCGGGATCGTGGGCTAAACCTTTAAGCCCTGTAGGCTATACGGTTAAGGTTTAAAGGTTTAGGGTTGAAATGTTCAACAGTAAGCCCATAGAGTTTAAACCTTAAGGGTCCTAAACGCTTAACCTTTGAACCTTAACCCTATAGCCTATAGGGCTTACAGGTTAAGTGTTTAGGCACGGTTAAGGTTTAGAGGTTTAGGGTTGAAAAGTTCAACAGTAAGCCCATAGAGTTTAAACCTTAAGGGTCCTAAACGCTCAACCTTTAAACCCTATAGGCCATAGGGTTAAGGTTGAAAGGCTTAGGGTTTAAGATTTGGCATTAAAACACAAGCCCATAGAGCTTAAACCTTAAGGGTTTAAGGTTTAAGCATGTAAACGAGAACCCTAAGCCCTTTAGGGTCAGAACCCTGAAGCCCTGTAGGGCTCTAAAACGTTAAAAGGGTTTAACCCTATAGGCGTTGAAAGTATAAATGCCCAGACATTACGCTCTCTTTAACCTTTCAGCCCTATAGGGTCTAAAGGCTTAGGGTATTTCTTAAGCCTTGAGGGTTTAAAACCTTAAACCCTTAAGGTGGGCTTGGGTTTAAATGCCTAAATCTTGAATCCGAAAGCTTTAAACCTTCCCTATAGCCTATAGGGTTTAAAGGTTAAGCGTTTAGGCCCCTTGGGGTCTGAACTCTATGGGCTTACTTTTAAAACCTAAACCCTCAAACCTTAACCCTATAGCCTATAGGGTTTAAAGGTGAAGCGTTTAGGCCCCTTAAGGCTTAAACTCTATGGGCTTACTATTGAACTTTTAAACCCTAATCCTTTAAACCTTAACCCTACAGCCTATAGGGCTTAAAGGTTAAGTGTTTAGGCCCGTTAAGATTTACACTCGATGGGCTTAGGTTTAAATGCCTAAATCTTAAGGCCTAAACCTTTTAAGCCTCAACCCAAAAGGGTTTTACGGTTAAGGGTTCAGGTTTAAATGGCGGTTGAGGTTTAGATGCCTAAATGTTAAACCCTAAGCCTTTCAACCTTACACCCAAGAGGGTTTAAAGTTCAAATGTTTCGGTCGAATTGACGGCTTAGGTTTAAATGCCTATATAAACCTTAAACCCTAAACCTTTAAGACACATAAATCTTGGAATAGGGTCTGACCCTACTTCTTGATGGAATTAATCTGAACCTTAATCGAGTAGGGTTTATTGAGCTGTTTACTTGTAAGTGAGGATAGTGTATAAATGAGTCTTATCTTTGAGAAATGATAACTCTTTTTGGGGGTCCTTTGGGAATGATGAGATGAACACCCACATACTTGAGAGTAAGTCGGGCTTTTGGAAGGTCCAGAACCCGTAACATAGTGAAAGGAGATTTGCTCACAGTATTCTCGCGTCTTCAGGAATACAGTGTTTCTCCACATCACCTTATGCACTTGAATACTTCCTGGGCTTATGGTATCTTGCTTATCTTTCCAATCGACGTCCTATACTCATCTGCACCTATCCGGGCCCATGCAAATCTTCAACTTCACATTGCCTCCGGGCCCACGCAAATCTTCAACCTGACATCGCCAAATCATGAAAATACCTAGATCTTTGGGGGGGGGGGGGGGTAGCTAATATATATATATATATATATATATATATATATAAGGCCTCAAGGTACAAGAGCAGTTGCACGACGTCAAGTGCATCCAATCTTCATCCGATGCCTTTGCAGCTCTGCGCGCAGATGGGACGGTGTGGAGCTGGGGCGACACAGAGCACTGCAAGCGCAGCGCAGCGGTGCAAGACCAGCTCCGGGACGTGTGCGAAATCCAGGCCACAGACCAGGCATTTGCGGGTCTCCGCGTGGACGGATCCGTCGTGACGTGGGGGCACAAGATGTATGGCGGTGACAGCGGCCCGGTCCAGAGCCAGCTGCAAGGCGCGACTTGGCAGCCCAGTGGTGCCCTTTTGCCTTATTTTTAGGGTTCCGGGTACCCTTGAAAAATTGACCAACCGCGAAAAGGGTACCCCTTTTACAACCCTAAACCCCTTTTAGAATATGGTGACGGAGCTACCAAGGTGAGCAGCATCCAATCTTCCCGGAGTGCCTTTGCCGCGTTGCTGGGCGATGGTTCTGTGGTTTGCTGGGGTGACGCCGCTTCCGGAGGGGCCGGGCCTTCTTTACCCCACAGCCAAAGCACCACGCAGGCTGCCAGAGCAGGATATCAGAGCTAACGGCGCATAAACAAACACTCCGAGCCCCTAAACCCTAAACTAGGCCCCCCTCCACCGGCCCTCCCCCAAACATTCCTCAGCCTGGTGCTGCTTATGGCGCTTCACAGCTCAAAAGTCCTGCGTGACGCTTTTTTCCAGGGCTCCTGCACTGCGGCCCCATTGGTCCAGAGGGTTTAGGGTTTAGGGTTTAGGGTTTAGGGTTTAGGGTTTAGGGTTTAGGGTTTAGGGTTTAGGGTTTAGGGCCGTTTGTCTTACACCCCTGCGCTATCAACCCGACAGCCCTAACGAACCCAAGCCCTAAGTAAATCTGACTGCAAGGACCTAGCTCCCCCCAGGAGGCCCACCGACCCTTCTTAGTTGGTTTCGAGAACGAGCCGCACCTTTAAAATGTGCTGGTCGCTGGGCTGCCTGGTCCTTAATGCAGGAAGGAGGCTCTTTTCCGAACCGGTAAAAACCACCCTAAACCCCATACCCCAAAGCCTAAACACTCAACCTTAAACCCCAAACCCTAAACCCTAAACCCCAAACCCTAAACCCTAAACCCCCCAAACCGGCAACGTCAGAGCCCTCCCGCTGGCCAGGCCTGGCAAGCGGCATCGGCATCTTCGCCAGCTGACCCCACAAGGTGTCGAGCTCTTTAAGGGACCTTGAACCCTAAACCCTAAACCCCAAAAACACAAACCCTAAACTCAAAATAACCCCTAAGGTCCCTCGTAAGGGTCCCTACTTTAGTCCCTTCACCTGAGCCCAAGACCCCTGGGAGGCCCCTTAAGGGTTCCTAACAGTGACCAACAGTAGTATAGGGTACTATTTGGGGGCTCTACTTTTTGGATCGGTTATTAGGAGGGACCCCTAGTAGGGACCTATACTTTATATGGTCCCTACATACCTAAGTAGCCCCTAAAAAAACCCCCAAATACCCCCCTACACTAAACCCTAAACCCTAAATAACCCCTAAGGTCCCTTGCGCGGGTCCCTCCTTTAGTCCCTTGAGGCTGTTTTCGGCTTTGGGACGTTGAGCCCGAGACTTCTGGGAGGATCCAAAAAGTAGATCCCCTTAAGGGTTCCTAAAAATGACCCCAATAGTAGTATAGGGTTTAAGGTTTAGGGTTTAGGGCTGTCCTTGCCCAGTGGTACCCTTTACTTGTTTCTGTAAGAAATCGGGCTTAGGGTTTCGGATTAAGGGTTTGTTTTTTGGTTCTGGGTTCTTCTACAGTAATGAACCAACCAAAATAGGGGTACCCTTGTTAAAGGTGGTTTGCTGGGCTACCAAGTAAGCATCGACCCCGAACCAGCCCTAAACTACACAAAAAGCTCTCCACGATGGACAATATTTCGCGCACACTTACCCACAGGACCATACAGTGGAGAACAGTCCATCGAAACTTCGGAGGGGTTTAGGGGGGTTATTGCTCGTGGCATACCAAGTCTCAATCTAGGGTGCTTCTCGCAAGTCATACAGTCTATACTTCCCAAGTAGCCCTCAACCCTCTATACAGGACCTAAACCCTAAGCCCTAAACCCTAAACCCTAAACCCTAAACCCTAAACCCTAAACCCTACACCCCCTTCAAGGCCCAAGTGTATGGACCTTTGGGTCGGAAGATATTCACGCAGCACTCCAGTGGCCGAATACCGGGTTGGATCTAGGGGGCAAAGGGTTCTAGCGATAGGTGCGTAGAAGGATAGTTACAACAGGGTCCCTTAAAAAAGGGGGACCCCCTAACAAAATCAAGGTAAGCTCCACACTCTCCTTCAAAATTTAGAAGGGGACTCCTTGCTACAAGCTACCCTCCGAAACCCTAAACCCTAAACTCTACACCCTAAACCCTAAACCCTAAACCCTAAACCCTAAACCCTAAACCCTAAACCCTAAACCCTAAACTCTACACCCTAAACCCTAAACCCTGAACCCTAAACCCTAAAAACCCTAAACCCGAATCTCTCCCCGAACCGCAGGGCCGCACCACTGCTGTGTCGCAAAGTCTTGCTCGGTAGTGGGCCCAGCCAAAGAGGCTTGGGGCTTAGGGTAGGGTTTCGGGTTTAGGGTTCAGGGTTTGGGGTTTGGGGATTGGGGCTTACCTTGCGAAACCCTGTAGCACAGGCAGGTGTATAAATGCTCCTGGGCCAGATTTGGGGTGTCCATCCTGGGCCAGACTGGGGGCCCTAGGCTGTAGACGAGGGCTGGCGCACAGCTCCGGGAAGGAGCACGACGTCGCACGCTCGCGGTGCGCACATCAAGGAGAATCGCGAGCTGCGCCAGGAGCTGACTGCGGCGGAGGAGATGGCTCGCGAGTTGGAGACTGCGGACTGTGAAGAGAACTCAGTCTCGGAAAACCACACCTTGGGGTGTCTCAGCTGTTTGTTGCTGCAGCTGCTTTTACCCTAGAATCAAGGAGTCTATTAACCCTTCAGCCCTAGAACCCTCAAGCCTATGTACCCCACGCCCTAAAGTCAAGAAGCGTCATAACCCTATTCACGCTAAACCCTAAACCCTCAACCCTAAACCCTAACACTACGACGCTAACCCCCCAACACCCCTGCACGTCCTGGCCCTTTGGCAAAGTGAGGTGGACTTCCCACCTAAAGCCACTGCCGCAATATAGGGTTCTCAACCCTAAACACTATAAGCCCTGGACCCTAAATCACAACCCTATACCCTAGCCCCTCAACCCGATGTACCCTACACCTGGAACCCTAAACCCTATGCACCCTATACCCTAGACCCGAGACCCTAAACTCTGTAAACCCCTTACGCCCTATGAACCCACAACCCGGTAGTTTCTGGGAGTTCAGGGTTGGGTTCTGGGGACTTAGGGTTTAAGGGTTTATAGGGTTTAGGGTTTAGGGTGTGCAATTTCTAAACCGTGCGCCCTAAACCTTAAACCCTAAGCCCTAAACCCCAAACCCTAAACCCTAAACCCTGGTTTTCTTGGGTTGCTGGGATCATTGAGGGCCCTTCAAGGTTGGGTTTGGGGGCATGCACCTCCTCAGGGGGCTTTCAGCTTTTTTTTGTGGAGTTTACGGTAGGCATGGTTTGTGACCTAGGATAAGGATTTAGGGTTCATGACTTCATGGCGTGGGGTTTTGAAAGTGCGGGGTTTCCAGAATCTAAGTTCTTTCAGGCTGTACGGGTTTAAGGTCACTTCGTACTTGCCTACAGAATGCAGCCCGTAAGGGGGTTCTGCACAAGAAAGAGGAGAAGCTTGACAACTCAGAGTTTCCTTGATGACGCTGGGTAGGCCACTGGATTTTTTCATATTTTCCCTTTGTGGGTTGAAGAGGATTATATTTAGTAATATTTGAGGCCCTGTAAGAGGGGTGTTTGAACCCTAAACCCCAAACCCTAAACCCCTAAATCCCAAACCTTAAACCCCAAACCCTAAACCCCAAACCCTAAACCCCAACCCTAAACCCTAAACCCTAAACCCCAAACCCTAAACCCCAAACCCTAAACCGCAAGCAGATTCATCTCCCATTTCCCAGGTCCGACGGCTTTGCGCAACTGGCAGCTGCGACTTCTAGGAGGCCGAGGGGTTCGGGAGGGATGAGCCCTAAACCCTAAACCCTAAACCCCAAACCCTAAACCCTAAACCCTAAACCCTAAACCCTAAACCTTCAGGGCCCCTCCGGAGCCGCAGTGTGCCAAAACTCGTACCCCCAAAAACCCTAAGCCCTTGACGCAGACTCGCTTCCCCAAAGCTCTAAGGTGTGTTTTGTTTATGTTGGGAGGTTCCTCGTATCATCTTCCCATAAAACTTATTACGCTGGAAAAGCCACCAAAACCCGCTAGCCCTAAACCCTACACCCTATAAACCCTAAACCTCAACCCTAAACCATGAACCCTAAACAACCCTAAGTTATGTTGCTTCGAACACCCCCACCCTCTCTTGATAGAGATACTCTAGGGTTGGGCACTCCAGGAATACTCTGGGGCTGGGCACTTCGGGGACACTCTGGGCTTGGGGCACTCCAGGGAGACTCTGGCGTTCGGCACTGCATGGAGACTCTGGGGCTGGGCGCTCCGGGACACTCTGAGACTCTGGGGTTGGGCACTCTAGGGAGACTGGCACTGGAACAATCTGGGGTTGGGCACTCCAGGGAGACTGGGGTTGGGCACCGGAGACTCCGGGGACGCTCTGCAGTGGGCACTAGGGAGACTCTGGGTTGGACACTTCAGGGAGACTCTGGGCCTGGCACTCCGGGGGACAATCTGGGGTTGAGCACTTCAGGGAGACTCTGGGCGGACACTCCAAGGATACTTTGAGGTTGGGCACTCCGATGAGTGAGGAGTAGACCGGGCGAGGAGAAGAGTTCCGGGCGAGGAGAAGAGTTGAGTTTAAAATCCAGCAACCCCACACCGAGGGTGGGGAACAACCCCAAACAACCCTAAACAACCCTAAACCCTGAACCCAAAACCCCTGAATCTGAAGGAGCATCTGACGTCTCGGGTGCACCAGCGGCGGCCACCGCGGCGAGTAGCGCAAAATCAACCTGGGGAGTCGTGTGTTTAGGGTGCAGGGTTTAGGGTTTAGGGTTTGGGGTTTAGGGTTTAGGGTTCGGGGTGTGGAGTTTGGGGTTTAGGGTTTGGGGTTAGGCTTTGCGGAGCTTTGGCGCTGTAAACCTAAAGCCTCAACCTAAGCGGTTTAGGGTTTAGGGTTTTAGGGTTCAGGGTTCAGGGCTTCGGGTTTAGGGTTAGGGGTTCAGGGAGGGTCTCTTTTCTCGTGCACTCCTTATAGTTCAGGGAACCAGACAGGGGCCTGAATTTGGATCAGTTCGTACTCATTTTAATGAGTGTCCTCATTCCTCTTTGGTTCTAGATGTAGGTTGGTGTTGTATTTTTAATTCTTAGTACTATTGTTGTTTAATTTCTTTATGTGTCCATTCATCTTTCTTCACCTATTGATTTATTCATTTCTTCACTTTTTCATTTATTCATTTATTGTTACTTTTGTGGGGGAGGGGTGGGGGGGGGGGGGTAGAGCTTGTTTCTTACTTGGT